TGAATCAAAAAAAAAACAGGCAAAAACAATAAAGGAAAAAAACATAACATTTGACCCCCAAACCACCTGTAACTCCTGAAATGGCATGAAATGTCTTCAGGTCATTCCAGTGATTTCAGACCTCTCCTAACAGACTTCAGGATCTTTCATTCTAAAATTTCAGGAGGTCGTTAACCACTTGTGAAAAGAAGCGACGCAAAAAGGCGAAGAAGCGAGGACAGTGGACATCGATGTAATTTCCCCTCAATTCCGATCTTCCGTAATTGGCCCATTCTTCCCATCTTAGGACCCCTCATTGTCATCGCGCATAAAATCGCGCGGGACAAGAATTGGTTCGTCACATATGTGACGCCCAGGGGGTTCCAATCTTAAGCAAACTCCTGCTTGCTTCTCATTATGACACGTGTCAATCTCTCTAATCGATCGCAACGCGGAGTTTTTTTCGTTGCCACTTACCGTTCGACAAAAGTGTGGGCGTCATCTAGGGTGGCACACGTGGCTCTATCCTTCAGTTTCCTCACGAAGGGCTCTCTTCAGTCCAAGGAGGGGATCGTGCGTGCCATCGCCGTGGCACGTGCCATACATCCGCGCATCAGTAGCCAGCATGGAAACGGAAGGGAAGACGGTACATGGGGGTGTGATGAGGGGGCAGGTCAGTCAGAAGCGAGGGTAGAAAACCTTCTAATCCCACAACTATCACCGGAAGCTCTTGATATCGGACGATCCGATAGAAGCGCGGGAAGTGGGTGCCGCCATAGGGAAGGGACGCAAGGTAGTTGGGATACAGGGTCGTGAAGGTGCGAAGAAGGGCCGTTCGGAATCGATCATGGTTTTCAAATGCGGGGATAGTCCCCGTAATCATGCAATAGACCTCGACCATGTTGTGGTCTCGCCACGTGGCACTAAAGAGAAGGACATGGAGGCAGAAGACAGGGGTGGTGCACCTGGTAGAGGCGTGCGGATGCACCGTGACAATAAGACGGGTGGCATAGAAGTGGCAGAAGTTTGCAATAGGGAAGGGGTTGTGGGGAAAAGAGACCAGAATGGTAATCTGACGGAGGGTGAGGAAATCAAGGGGACGGCGGGATAACGACCGGGGACGAAGCCCGATGCCCCACATCGACACGTGCTCAAACTGGGGGACAGAGGGAATGGGATCGGGATCTGCTCCGTCGCCTGCCCGCCGGTGCGCTCGAAGTCTCGGCAGGAGGGTCCCTATCGTTGCTCTTGGGCGGCTCGGGATCCTTAGTTGGATCGTTCGGGATCGGTAGATCCACACCTCTTGCGAACTCCAGCGGTTGCTTCCCAGCTGCGATTTCCTCTCTCCTTCGTGCCGCCTCGGGATCCTCCTCCTGAGTCCCTGCGCGATCTGCCTCTTCACCCAAAGTCTCTCACTCAGATCCCTCTTCTTCCTCCAACTGATCCTCTTCTTCTTCGTCTTCTTCACTCGACTCTTCCTCACTGTATTTGCTGTAGTTTTCTGCTTCTTCCGAGGTCTCCTCCTCGCTTTCGTCTTCCACCTCAGCTTCTTCCGCCACCGCTCTTTCTTCCACTGTCGTTCGGGGCGAAAAGAAGAGGGTGTTTATGATCCCTCGGGGGTTCAGGTACTCTGTGCGCGATGGATATCTGCCACCTCTCGTCCGATCCTCTAAGCAGGTTGACCACTGCAGGTAGGGCGTCAATCTTCGCTGGAGGACGTGCGGCACTGGACTTTCGTCGCACTCCGAGATGATGTCCAGGGAAAGGTCGTCGACGAGCTGCGCGAGAGGGATCGTAAGTTCCCACACAATCGGCTGGCGATGGTCCGGTTCTACTGCTCCGAAGACGAATCCTAGAAGATCACCCTCCACTTTCATCATCTAGGCCTAGATAATTAGTAGCTCCACGTTCTCCCTCGCGGCATGATGTTCGCTGTTTCGGGTCCACATCAGCTCCACTTTGACCAGGCAGAGCGAAAGAGTGAGGTAGTGCTTACACCAAATCTCCCAGTGTTTTGGTTCGATGAGGGGAACGACAAGGGGCTTTAAGCAGAAGGAGAGACGGGGGTTAGAGATCAGATTGTCAAAAGGTAGGGAAGAGAGAGGGAAGAGCGAAGGTTGAGATCTGGGACTGGTTCATTGAGGACGCTGGAAGAGAACGAGCTCCAGAAGCACCACCGCCGGCTCGTTCCGAGACGTTCGAAACCCTCCGACGTCGATGTCGTCCATAAGGACAAGATTGTCGTCATGGCACGTAAGCCACTGATTCCACTCCGTTGCCAGCTACTGGCCCCACTCCCTTAGCGACGTCCGGATGGTCGTGCGTCGTAGAGGGTTGATCACACTAATATCACAACTGAAGATGACGACAGTAGACACGTGGCTAACTCCCGGTGCTGACAGTCATCGAACCGCCATCGCCTCTACCAACACGATCGCTTGACGATGGCCCGTGAACCGGAAGTCCGCCGCCACGTACACCCCGGTAGTGCTAAGGAAATGCGCGAGCCGTAGAAGATCTGGACTGAATCGCGGGTGATAAGCTTGCCTGATCGTCGAGATGTCGTCACGTGGCGCCAGCATGTAATCGCCGAGAGCCCGCTCTGTAAGAAAACTCATGGCGATGGCAATGGGGACGGGGTATGAGAAGGGGCGAGAGATGCAGGAGGGGAGGAGAGCGGTAAAGATTCGTCGTCCTCCTCTGTAGCGAAGGAGGAAGCAGACACAGCTGGAGATGGAGAGGAAGGGAGAAGACGTAGGTAAGACACGTGGCGGACAATCGGTCGAGCTGACCGGCTTCCCGAGACTTCCGGCACGAGGCGCACAGTGTTTACCCCGTTCGGACCGAGTTCGATCACACGAAATCGCCCGAAGAATCGTGGCGCTATCTTCCCTTGGCGAGCACATTTCCTCACCTGCACCAAGTCCCCTAATTTATACTGGGACAATGGTCCTGCGTTCCCATTTCGGGCCTCGTAGCTACGGACCTATCGGTCGTGGGCCAACTCAGTCATTTTTTGGCGTTTTCGGGCTAATCGGGGAAGGGACCGTTCCATCAGTTCCATGTGTCGCTTGGCCTTGTCCTGACTCGTGGCTCTTGTGGGCCGTCGGTTCAATGAGGAGTCATCGAGGAGGCTCGGTATCGAGACACAAGCTACGCTATTGGTTCGTAATTGGAAGGGGCTAAGGCCCGTCGATTCGTGAGGCATTCCCCGCTGGACCGCCAAGATGTGATCTACGATATCGGGCCAGGGCCTCAGATCCTGTGCCGCGATGTTTTGTCGCAACGCTGTCTTTATCACCCGATTTGCGTTTTCTACCAGTCCGTTAGATTGTGACATGTGGGTTGCAGTGTTCCGAATGACAACGCCATGTACGACTAAATTCCTTAAAACTTCCCCTCTGAATTCTACCCCATTGTCGGTCAGGATTTCCTCTATGTCCTGATGCATCCCTAAAAACCTATTGACGTATCACGAGATTTCAGCCGCCTGTCGCGTACGACATGGATATGCCTCGATCCATTTCGAGAAATGGTCCACAAATACGAGTAGAATTGTATATTTGCAGCCATTAGGTCCAGGGGCACCACAATATTGGTAGTATCCATGCTCACCCTCGGCACTATCGATCTTGGTGGCTGAATCGGCGCCTTGTCAGCACCGCAGACCTGACAGCTCGCAACGATGAATTTCACATCATCACGAATATTGGACCAATACCACTCATTCTTGTCGATTGTCGCTTCCGTGATTCGGACGGCAAAATGGGTTGTAGTTTCCTCATGCGCCGTCTTAACCCAGTCATACCTCATGAACGGGTCTGACACTACCATCCAAATCCCACTACCGTCCGTCTTTCGTTTTCCTAATTGGCCCTCGTTCTAGCAAAAGTCCCTAGTAGCCCTTTCGTTAGCCCTCCTTCTGTCTTCCTTAGTGAAGTTCCGAAGGGGGTTACCTACTAAGGTGGCAATTAGCACAAGGTCCATCCAAACTTCGGCCCTTCAAAATTTTCGAGTTTTCTCTAAGCCTTCTGACGTGGCGTCGAGAAATCGAGCCTCAGTCGGGATCTTATCAATCCGACACAAGGGACACAACCAAGGCTTATCGTCATTTTTGTACTGGATACACGAGCCATGGGCTCATGCGGCACCCTGCCAACAATCTATCCATTCTGCATATAACACTGAATTCATGAAAACCTAACAAAATGACAAAACCTCACATTTTTTATAGAATGAAAAAGTAAAAGTGAAATTATTATTTGTTACACAAAAAGAGAACTTTTTAACGGTTTTTCGATAAAGGAGGCAAAAAACGATGTGAAAAGTAAACTGTTCCTCAAAATGTGCAAGAAAACGTTTTTTTGCAAAATCCTCTTACATGGCTATAAGTCATTCTCAGTAGATTTGCAGAAAGCAAAGCTCAAATAGGACAATTTTTAAGGACTACGGGGCAAACTTGAAAGATGTAAAAAAAAAAAAACAGATTTTGGTGAATACTCATTTATAGAACTATAAGTCATTTTTAGCAGTTAGGTAAAAGTATTAAAAACCAAGATCTGCGAAAACTAATTTATAGGACTATAAATTAATTTTGACGTTAACAATAAAACCCTTAGCAAAAAATATATGTTATTTAAAATAAGAATAGAAACAACTTTTGTAAGGGAGAGACCTTTAAATTCTTAGCCAAACACGAGTTTAAAATTAAAAAAAATGGGGGAAAATATAAAATAAATAGTAAAAAATAATATGTTCGTTCAGGTATAGGATAATATGTTTGAGAACATGTTTGAGCGTTCGAGAAACCCCTAAATACGTTCCTCGTGTTAAACATCTTATAAGACTATAAACATTATTTTTTTTTGTAACAGAAAAATGAGATATTTCAGTTCTTGAATATACGCTGCTTCACGAGGTAGTGATTTTGTGTGGAAAAACCTACTTTTCTCCTCGCCACTTCGAGACTTCGAGTGTTTCTCAAAAATGAATTTTCTTTTTCTTTTTTTTACGGTTGTTTTACTTCACGTAGAATTTTGTTCCTGGAGGCCGCCTGAAAAACGTACTATCATAATCTTGAATACATTTCGTGCAAACCTGACAATTTGTTTTGTTAGGTTTTCACGAATCCTGTGTTATATCCCTCCCCACTAGAACTCATAAGGACCAAGTAGACGCGCGAAATTGCTTCGCAAGTCACAAGATTACCTATGTCACCCATTGCTAATTGCCTGCTTCTTGCCACGTGGAAGGACTGCCACTTGTCCGTACTTGGGTTCGTTCGCTGACTCCGGTTCCTTCCACGGAATGATTTCTTCACCCTTAGGTACCTTAGCGGGGCGATGCAAACGTGTCAGCCGGTCCGCGTTGTCGTTCCTCTCTGTCTTTCGATGGATGATGTCGAAGTCGTAATCCTGTAGGTGCACCGTCCACTGTCCAATCATACCCATGTAATTAATGAGCTTCTTCAGAGCCAATAATGGCTCGTGATCGGTTACAAGGAGGAACTTCTGAGCGTACAAGTACAAGTACGGGTGGAAGTGCTGAATCCCCCAGACCACTGCGTAGCATTCGCCCTGCGGGGCCGAATCGTTCCTTCGTTCGTCTGGCACCGTACAAGACGTGTACTCGATGACGTGTTCTCGGTCGTCATTCCCCTTCTGCGCTAGAATAGCGGAGATCGCCTCCGTATGCCAGTCCGTGATAAGAATGAACTGCTTCATAGGGTCCGGTCGGATCAAAATAGGCGCTATAGCCAGGGCGTTCTTGAGAGTGGTGAAGGCCCGTTTGCACTCTGCATCCCAGCTAAGGGGCTGGTCCTTCTGCAGTAGGTTCGTTAGAGGTCGCGCAATTGCGGTAAAGCCTTTGATGAAGCGACGATAATACGATGCCAGCACCAGAAAAGCTCGAACCTGCGTCAATGACGTGGGGACAGGGGCGTCTTTCACCGCCGCGACCTTTCTCGAGTCTGGCCGCAGTCCTCCACATGTCACCACGTATCCCAAGAACGAGATTTCCGAGAGGAAAAACTCGCTCTTCTCGAGCGCGATCTTGAACCCAACATCTCTCAGAGCTCCTAGCGTCCACTCGATGTGTTGTGCATGCCCGTGATAGGTCTCCGAGTAGACCAGGATGTCGTCCATATACACGATGACGTAGAAGTTAACCATCCCCTGAGTTAGCCGCGTCTTATTGACGAAGTTATGGAATGTCACATTCATAGCCCGCTGAAACGTGGCAGGCGCGTTGCAAATCCCCATCGGATATCGAACCCACTGCCACGTGCCTTCAAATAGTACGAAGGTCATTTTCGACCGATCTTCCTCCTTAACCAGGATGTGATGGAAACCGTGGCGAATATCAAATTTACTGAAATAATTAGCACACCCAATCGCATCAAGTAGATCATCAATCCTGGGAAGGGGGTACACATCTTTAATCGTGATGTCATTCAGCTTACGGTGATCAATGCATATGCGAATTGATCCATTCTTCTTCGGCACTAATACTTCTGGGAACGGCCATGGCCCAGTGGCGGGTTCAATCCATCCATTGGCTTCGAACTCCCGGATCCGCTGAAGAGCTGTTTTTCGTTCCACCAGGGAATACCTGTAGGGTTTACGTGGATCACGGGATGGTTTCCGGTCTGGATTTCATGTTGTATGACTAACGACAATCCGATGTCTGTGTCCATCACACTAATCGCTCCTTTGTATTCCTTCAAAATGTCCGAGATTAGGTGATGGATCTCCTTAGGTACGTATTGGGGCACGTGCAATTCGTACAGGTCATCCCATATTCGTACATCGATATGTTTCATACTCACCCACTTAGTGTTTTCGGGTGGCGGCGCGGAAATAAACGAATTATCCGATCGCCAGGAGAATACCGTAGCCATCATTTGTGCATCCTGCTCTCGAATGGCCACGTGTTCCTCTGGTGTTACTCCGTCTAGAATGTCCTGCCATGGCACGGGTTTCGTTGCGATTTTGATTCCGAGCCCAGTTTCAAGGCGCTCAGGGGGTTCCACAGAATTGGTCTCCGCCCCTAAGGGTATCAATCGTATCTCTTTTGCAGGTGTCAAAAAAGATCGTGGAAGATTGAATTTCGTGATGTCGCAGTAGTGCCTTTTGTCATTATATCGTGCGAGTAAAGGGGAGATACCTTCGTACAGGGTTCGAGGGGGTTCAAAAGAATCGATCATCCTCGAAATCTGCACGAGGGATTCACCCAAAATCATGGCTTGCATTCTTCGTAGATTCTGATCAGTCAGGCTTAGTGATTTTGTGTTTGCTCGTTGCATAGGATAATGGATACGTTATTGCGCCATCTCCATAATTATTGGATCGTCCTTGTCACTGTTGTCCGCGTCCTTCGGAGATTGCTCCCCGTCAGCAGAGCTATCCAAGGTAATCACGCGAAGAGTTCCCGCCATCACTGGAGAAACTCATGGGGTTACGTTAGTCGTGGTTCAAAGCGTCAGTCTCATAGGTACAACATAGGGTTTTCCTCCTGTGTTTCGAAGGACAATCAATCGCCTCTCGAAGTCCAGATTGGCTCGCAAGGCCACTTGGGCAGGAAGGCCAAAACGGACGTCGTAAGTGTTTACGTCTAAAACTACGACATCACCCAAAGCATGCACTTTCCCTAATCGAAAAGCAACATTGGCCATATGTCCCACCGTTTTAATCTTCTCTTCATCCGCTGAAACGAGCTGATCTTTTTCGTAAGCATGATTAGATGGCTCTTTCTTCCTGCCCTTTCAACTACCCGTAATGAGATAGCAACGGCCCCGGAATCAATGATAGCGTTGCACGGAAATCCCCATACCTCCATATCGCATTCTGTGGATTTCCATGGGATTGGTTTAATCTGTAGGAAATGATCATATTTTTGGATTAATCCTAGCCGTATTGGTTCTGAAGTACCTGCTGCATTTTCATCCGGCGTGGGATTTTTCGTTTTTGTGCTCGCTGTTCGGGCAAGGGCAAATCGTTTCCGATTCGCCTTGCAATGTTGCAGCATCCGTTCATTGGCTTGTTCAAATATAGAGAGTAGATGACCGATCGGAAGAGGAATCCGATGATCTAAGGCTCGAACGATGTTTAAAACATCGATCACTCCCGTGACGAAAGTGGGTCCTCCCGACTCTATTTCCGTTGGAGAAGGTCACCACTCCGCCACTTCTCGTTGTTCTGGCGCCGGTCTAATTATTCCAATCATCCCAAGCCTTGGGTATCCGAGCGTTACGTACTGATCCAACTGGATTAGTTCAGCAGCTTCCTCCATTGTAACTATCGTGCTTCCTCCTCCTTCCATTTGCTCCATTAATGTTCCTACACGTCCCGACCCATTAGCAATTGGAGCTGCTGCTACCCGTGTAACCCCGACTCGTGGCTGCGGAGGCCGATGATTGCAATCCCGAGCTATGTGCCCTCGTTGGTGACACGTGTAACAAACATTCAAGTTGCCAGGGATCCCTGCGGGAGGCGGTGCCGGAGCCAATCCATGTTGAATCGGGGCGGCACGCACCGCTATTGGTCGAATCGACCTCATCATCGCCTTTATTCGAGCATTGTGTTCCCGCTGTTCCTTTTTGCTTTCCTGAATCAGAGTGACCAATGTCTTGGTTAGTTCCAATAAGGCGGAGGAGTTGTTCGGTCGTGGAGGACTTTCGATCAGAGGCGGGGGTGTTGTCATTACAGGGACGGGCATACTTGCAATCACACTCGGGGCCGGTCGTTTGGGACTAATCTGTTCTAGATAGGTGACGGGGCCCGACACAAACCCTATGTTTTCAATTTTTTTCTGTAGTGCAGCCAACTCAGCTTTACCTCTCGCTAGTTCGGACGAGTCTGCTTCCCTAGGATAGTCTTCCCCTTCTAGGAAACAAGCGGCGAATTTTCGTTCCATTTCCTCTGCAGCTGCCATGATCTTTTGCAACGTGTGATTAATGGGGGAGAACTGTTTTCGCAGTTTCGCCCTCATTGTTCGGCTGCAAAGTCCGTCGATGAACAAATCTCTGCCTACCTGTTCGCCTCGTTCCGTTTTTACAAACATTCGATAGAATCGGTTCCGATACTCAATGACAGACTCGAGGGGTTTTTGAACTCGATCTTTTATCATAAAAAGAGTCTGTTCCGGGTGGATATAATCGAATCAATTCAAGAAATCTCGCTCGAATGTCGGGAGAACGACCCATACATAGGTGCTAAACCAGTGATGGGTGTCTCCTCCCAATCGTGCGGGGATATTTACTTGCGCCTCATTATCATCATACTGTTGAGCTCGGAGCGTGGTCAGCCATGCTCCTGCGAGATGATGTGCAGGGTCAAAGTGATAGAGATCGGGTGGCATCATGGGAGCCCGTGCTCGTGGTACGGGTTGAGTAGGATTCTGTTGTGGATTCTGATTCTGTTGGGGGTTCTGTTGATTAGCATTCATGTTGATCGCCCGTCGAGCCGCAAACCGGCTTCGGGTGACGACTAGATCGCGTCGATGCACGTTCCGTGGTCGAGGTCGTCCTCTGTTAGCCAGATCGCCCAGCTATGAATCCTAGCACTCTACCACGTGTCGGCTCTGATACCAACCTTACGCCCGGCGCGACTTCCTGATCAAAGTGGAATCTGGGCCTGGAAGTGCGAAAAGGGGTGTGCCAAGGATTTTTAGGAAAGTGGGGGTGGAGTCCCAGGTCAGAACTCAGATCTCTTGTGGCAAGGGTCCGGGGGCATAGATGCAATAGGGTTGAGGGACGGGTTGCTCCCGGCCTGATGGTGGTCGATGTCGTGCAGCATAAGGCAGATGGCATGCACGATGCATCCAGGGCTGTCCAATCCATCAGTTCGGCGGTTCGGAAGAGGCTCGTTCGTGAAGGCCGCGATTCCTATGAGTCGGATCCTCAGGTGCAGACACGTGGAGTCTGTCGCCGCGTGTTATGGTTAGGCTCCGTAGCTCCCGGGGTTCGGTGGTGGCGTCGTCTGCAGTTTCTGCACGACGTGCGGGACCAATACGGGGCAATGGAATTCCATAGTACCACCACGAGTTGGTGATACGGGAGGAGGAGACAAAAGGGAGGGAAATTGGTAGTGACAACGATAAAGCCGGGGGATATGAAGGTTTGCGTGTTATACGTAGTTGGGTAATCGGGGCACCTTSGATCGCTGGTTATGGCACAGCGAAACTCCCTGGGTCACAATCGGTTCTCGATTAGGCAGGGAAATTATGGGCGTCTCTGCCTGAGATATTMTCTTGCCCARGGTTCGAAGTACCCTRAGTCCCATGTGTCCKTCATCTTGTCATCGCGGCGTATTGAAAGCCTTCCGTATGCGTCTGACTGACGGGGGCAGGGGAGGGCGTCGGAAATTYCTGCCAATTCAGGTGTTTGAAAGGAGGACGGTTCCTCACCTATCCCGRTACTGGAGGTACCGGGTTCGTCAGAGATCGTGACCCGCCGCTCGTKGACACGTGTAGGCTGCGCAAMTCGGATTGCGCTTACACGTATCCACACGAGGTGTTCGCTTGCACTCGGGYCYGTTGGCCGACGCTTACGCCCAAGTGAAAATCTAATCCCTCATGCAAACTCACCACGTGGAATAGACAACTTCCCAATCRTCWAATCACTCAGTGATCCCRCAAGCAATCGTTCCCGAGCATGCAGGGTGTCATTATACATCAGATGYCATAATTCCTACTATGCTTAACGGCGTATMAAAATKGCAAGCAAAGACRATGRCCAGACAGGAARAACGACAAATATATCATTCATTCATCCATTCATTCGACAAACACACAATAGCCGAGATCAAGATCAATYGCAAAACAAGTGTGGGCTGAAGCCGAGGCAAAGATTCCGAAAACAAAAGAAAACGGGCGAGTCGCCCTGAGCCGAGATCAAAATTTATATACAAAAGTAAAGAGGGAGACAAGACAAAGAAAACTGCAAATCCACATCCATCAACCTCAGCTCCCTTTTCCTCTCTTTCTCTCCGATGCGGACAGTCCGTCGCCACGCACCAACCCACGAAGTCGTCACCCCATTTAGTCCTTCTGCACCCGTTAGGTTCGCCCGCGCGCTATAGTCCGTCGTAGCCCCACGCGTCAACCCCATGCATTCGGCACCAGCCCGTCAGGTCAGCCGACTCCCACTTCAACTCACCTCTTACTTCGCCCGTGAGCCGACCCTCACTGATCGCGCTCCCCCGAGCTTCGTGGAACTGGTTAAGAGAGCTATCTAATTGCAGAGCAGGAATTTATAGCGTGCATGCATGCACGTAGAACACGGAATTGCAAGGACTTAGAAAGGAGTTCAGGGGAGGGAG